GGGAGAGGTAATGGGAAGGGGGAGGAGGAGGGAATGGGGAAGGGAGAGGCGGTGGGGGAGGGAATGAGGGGAGCAAGGAAGGCGGAAGGATTCAGGGAAAGGAGAGAGGGAAGGAAAAGGGGAAAAGGAGAATGAGGAGAATGGGGAAGTGAAAAAAACATTTTAAAAAAAACGTCACGAAAATCCCGTATGGATTTCTCAGGTAAGCTCTATATGGAAAGGTTTAGATTGCACTCCCGGGAATGGATTCTTAGAAAGGGTAGTCTTTTGTGGGAATGGGACGGGAATCGAGAGGCAGTTGTTAGGAATATATCAGTGTAACCAACACTTTTTTTTCTCTTTCTCTGTATCTCTCACATCTTTTCTCTTTCTGTGAATTATGCATAGGTACGCACACTTAAACAAGCACACACGCACACGTACACGTACACGCGCACACACGCACACGTACACGTACACGCGCACACACGCACACGACACGCACACCCACACGCACACACACACGCACACGACACGCACACGACACGCACACGACACGCACACACACACGCACACACACACGCACACACACACGCACACACACATACACACACACATACACACACACATACACACACACATACACACACACACACACACACACACACACACACACACACACTTTCTTTTTATTGATCATATTTCTTACCTTACATTTTTCTGTCTCACTTTCATTAGCCTATTACTTATAAGTAGATAGGCCTAATCATATACCTAATAACCATGGCAACAATATTATCGTCGATATCGATGTTGATAACCAATAATGATTTAGCACAACGATCTTTCGTAATAACTCATTAATCACGCAAATGGGTCTGATTTGTTTGTTTCTCTCCATTCCTTAATGTTTCGGCTTATTGTTCCGTTGTTCAGTATTTGAATTTTTTTATTATTTGTTTATTTTCATTGGCTATTGTTGATTTGGGACATGTCTGTTTAGCCTAGGTTGTCTATTAATCGTCGTCATCTTCGTCAACGTCGTCATCGTCATCATCAATCATTATCATTATTGTCATCATCATTAGTCATCATTATTATTGTCATCATCATCACCCCCCATCATCATCATTAGTCATTATTATTATCGTAATCGTTATAATCATCATCACCCATCATCATCATTAGTCATCAGTATTATTGTCATCATCATCACCCCCCATCATCATCATTAGTCATTATTATTATCGTAATCGTTATAATCATCATCACCCATCATCATCATTAGTCATTATTATTATTGTAATCATAATCATCATCACCCATCATCATCATTAGTCATTATTATTATCGTAATCGTTATAATCATCATCACCCATCATCATCATTAGTCATTATTATTATCGTAATCGTTATAATCATCATCACCCATCATCATCATTAGTCATTATTATTATCGTAATCGTTATAATCATCATCACCCATCATCATCATTAGTCATTATTATTATCGTAATCGTTATAATCATCATCACCCATCATCATCATTAGTCATTATTATTATCGTAATCGTTATAATCATCATCACCCATCATCATCATTAGTCATTATTATTATCGTAATCGTTATAATCATCATCACCCATCATCATCATTAGTCATTATTATTATCGTAATCGTTATAATCATCATCACCCATCATCATCATTAGTCATTATTATTATCGTAATCGTTATAATCATCATCACCCATCATCATCATTAGTCATTATTATTATCGTAATCGTTATAATCATCATCACCCATCATCATCATTAGTCATTATTATTATCGTAATCGTTATAATCATCATCACCCATCATCATCATTAGTCATCATTATTATTGTCATCATCATTAGTCATCATTATTATTGTCATCATCATTAGTCATTATTATTATCGTAATCGTTATAATCATCATCACCCATCATCATCATTAGTCATTATTATTATCGTAATCGTTATAATCATCATCACCCATCATCATCATTAGTCATTATTATTATCGTAATCGTTATAATCATCATCACCCATCATCATCATTAGTCATTATTATTATCGTAATCGTTATAATCATCATCACCCATCATCATCATTAGTCATTATTATTATCGTAATCGTTATAATCATCATCACCCATCATCATCATTAGTCATTATTATTATCGTAATCGTTATAATCATCATCACCCATCATCATCATTAGTCATTATTATTATCGTAATCGTTATAATCATCATCACCCATCATCATCATTAGTCATTATTATTATCGTAATCGTTATAATCATCATCACCCATCATCATCATTAGTCATTATTATTATCGTAATCGTTATAATCATCATCACCCATCATCATCATTAGTCATTATTATTATCGTAATCGTTATAATCATCATCACCCATCATCATCATTAGTCATCATTATTATTGTCATCATCATTAGTCATTATTATTATCGTAATCGTTATAATCATCATCACCCATCATCATCATTAGTCATTATTATTATCGTAATCGTTATAATCATCATCACCCATCATCATCATTAGTCATTATTATTATCGTAATCGTTATAATCATCATCACCCATCATCATCATTAGTCATCATTATTATTGTCATCATCATTAGTCATTATTATTATCGTAATCGTTATAATCATCATCACCCATCATCATCATTAGTCATTATTATTATCGTAATCGTTATAATCATCATCACCCATCATCATCATTAGTCATTATTATTATCGTAATCGTTATAATCATCATCACCCATCATCATCATTAGTCATTATTATTATCGTAATCGTTATAATCATCATCACCCATCATCATCATTAGTCATTATTATTATCGTAATCGTTATAATCATCATCACCCATCATCATCATTAGTCATTATTATTATCGTAATCGTTATAATCATCATCACCCATCATCATCATTAGTCATTATTATTATCGTAATCGTTATAATCATCATCACCCATCATCATCATTAGTCATTATTATTATCGTAATCGTTATAATCATCATCACCCATCATCATCATTAGTCATTATTATTATCGTAATCGTTATAATCATCATCACCCATCATCATCATTAGCTTCTTGATTATTTATTTTCTTTTTCTTCCGTTCTTTCATTATTATTTTTTACCTTTCAGTTATTTATTCTCACTTCGTCTGTTTTTTTTATCATATATTTTTTCCATTACCTTTTCTTCCAAATTTACCTTTTCTTTTCCTTCTAAATTCCCTCTTTTTCTTCAAAATTCCTTATTCCTTTTCTTCTAAATTCCTTATTCCTTTTCTTCAAAATACCCTCTTTTTCTTCTAATTTCTTCATTTCCTTTTTCTTCCAAATTTCCCTTTTCTTTTTCTTCTATATTCCCTCTTTTTCTTCTTAAATTCCTTATTCCTTTTTTCTTCCAAATTTCCCTTTTCTTTTTCTTCAAAATTCCCTCTTTTTCTTCTTAAATTCCTTATTCCTTTTTTTCTTCCAAATTTCCCTTTTCTTTTCCTTCAAAATTCCCACTTTTTCTTCTTAAATTCCTTATTCCTTTTTTCTTCAAAATTCCCTCTTTTTCTTCAAAATTCCCTCTTTTTCTTCTTAAATTCCTTATTCCTTTTTTCTTCCAAATTTCCCTTTCTCTCTTGACTTTTTGTTCAAGTTTCCCTTCGATCACTTCAATGGACTTAAAGGGAAGACTCGTTTTTTTGCGCTGGCTGGCTGGCGGGCGAGCCTAGATAGCGAGTGCTCGGTGGACTTTATTCTTTTCGTTTTTTTTTAGGATTCGCTTTCTCATTTTTTTTCCATCTTTTTGTTTTATTATTGTTTTTTTTTTCTTTTTTCTTTTTACATTACCTACATTTACGTTTTTTTTTTTTTCTTCTTTTAATCCTCCCCCTCCTACTCTTCCTCCTTCTACTTTTTCTCTCTCCTCTTCTTTCTCTCCTCTTCCTCTTTCTTTCTCTTCTCTTCTCATCCTCTTTCTTTCTCTCTTCTTCCTCTTTCGGCCACACACTCCCTCTTTCTTTCTCTTTTTCTCTCATTCTCCCTTTTCTTTCTCCTCTTTCTCTCTCTTTTCTATCTTTTCTTCATTCTCTCTTCCTTCTTCCTCTCCCCCTCCTTCCTTGTCCGCAGAGCGTATGTAAATGTAGTCAACTAACAATATGCATTATTAACTGCACGAATAAAAGAACTTCCATATTCATAATCTCAGTGTGCAACATGAATAAATTGCAGTAACTGAATATTTAATATCTGTAGCAATTTTAAATGAAAACGAATAGGAATAAGCAAGGACAGGTAGATAAAGAAAGGCAAAAGAAACAAATCGAAAGCGGGGAAAGGTTGAGATGCAGAATGATTTTTGCTTGTAATGCCCCTCGTGATTTCTCGTTGCAAGATGTTGAATGTGAATCATCTTGCTTCCCTTGTTTTTTTTCTGGGAATGTCGTTCGATGCTTTAATCTTTCGTTTCTCTGTTGCATTCTTCTTTTATTTTTCTCGCTCTCTTGTTTCTCTCTCGGTTTTCACTTTCCCATCTTTCTCTCTCCCTCCCTCCCTCCCTCCCTCCCTCCCTCCCTCCCTCCCTCCTTCCCTCCCCTCCCTCCCTCCACTCCCTCCCTCCTCCACTCCCTCTCTTCCTTCACTCCCTCCCTCCCTCCCACCCCTCCTTCCCTCCCACCCCTCCTTCCCTCCCACCCCTCCTTCCCTCCCTCCCCTCCTTCCCCTCCTTCACTCACTCACTCCCTCCCTCTCCTCCTTCCCTCTCTTTCTCACTCTTTCTCTCTCTATCTATCTTGTAGTATCTTTATTTTGCTTTACTGACAATTTATTTTTGTATTTAATTTGGGTTGGCAAACTGGATCCTCTTTAACTTGCTAACAAATACTTGTTTTTCTGTAATTCGGTGTCTTATGTCTAAATCTAATTTAACTTCTACTGTTCTACAGCTTTTACTAGAAAATAAAAAAAGGAAATAGAAATTAACAACTCAAATAACCCACTATACCTATCTAGAAAACCACTGTGGTTAAGTTGTGTTCATAGGGCTTAATAGTGATAACAGAAAACAGCCCTTCGGAAAGCTTTATGATTGGTTGGGAAGGATGATGGTATGCTGGCCAATCAGTGATCAGCTCCGACTCCGTGACGTGGCTCTGTCGTATCAGTGACGTCATCATGGTAAAGGTGGATGTGATGACGTAACCGACACCTAGTCATGCTCAAGGTCCCAGGCGCTGGTGAGTATTGACTGACCTTCTCTTCCCCAGAAAGGAATTAGAGATATTTTAGAACGAGGAGTTAGGCCTATGTTTGTTTATTTATTTGTTTGTTTATTTATTTTAAGCATGGTTATTTTGAAATGATGTATATCGTGTGTTGTTTTTATCGTGGTTAATAGCTTTTATTTTTTTTATTGGTTGTTTTGAACTATTGTATATCGTGTTGTTTTTATCGAGGTTAATAGAATTTATTTTTTATTGTTTCTTATTGTTATTTTTATTATTTATGTTATTATTGTTGTTTTTATTTTTATTGGTGTTATTATTATTACTTTTGTTGTCATTTGCTATTATTATTACTATTGTTGTCATTGGGTATTATTATTACTAGTATTATTGATACTGTTGCTATCATTATTATTATCATCCTTATGCTTTTTGTTATTGTTTTCATTATTGTGTCATCCTCATCAATGTTAATGTGATTAATTATATTACACTATCAATTATTAATGAGTGATATTATCTGTGTTCTCATTGCCATAATTACCAAAACGGTTGTTCACATTCGTCGTTATAATCATCAATAACTCATTAACTGCAATAAATGGCTCTTGTCATGTTTTATTGCAATTGATGTTCACTAGTCCATTAATGTTATTGTTCATATCAAGAAGTGATAAAGCTTTTAGCAGAGCCGTAATATACTAACGTAGTCGGTAATGATATTGGATTTGATAAGGCAGAAATAAATGATTTGTTATAATTTGGGAGTCTATTGATAGGAGCGATAGGTCAAGGATATATCTTGTCTTACTCACTCACTCACTCACTCACTCACTCACATTCATTCACACTCTCACTCTCACTCTCACACCCACACTCACTCACTCACTCACGCGTACACACACACACACACAATCACACACTCGCTCACTCACTCACGCGTACACACACACACACAATCACTCACTCACTCACGCGTACACTCTCACAAACTCCCACACTCTCACCCACACTCATCCTCACACTCTACTCACACTCTCACTCAGTGACTGACTCCAGCTCCCAAACCCTATCACACGCCTAACCTTATTATCGTCTTATCAGATATCGATATGAACGCAAGTGTACGCCATCACGCACTTGTCAGGAAGAGTATTGCGTTTGCATTGCGTTTGTCCTTTCAGCAGGATCCTGCCTTAGAGCTCGGGGTATCCTGACTTAGAGCTCGGGGTATCCTGCCTTAGAGCTCGGGGCATCCTGACTTAGAGGTCGGGGTATCCCGCCTTAGAGCTCGGGGTATCCTGACTTAGAGCTCGGGGTATCCTGACTTAGAGCTCGGGGTATCCTGACTTAGAGCTCGGGGTATCCCGCCTTAGAGCTCGACGCATCCCGCCTTAGAGCTCGACGCATCCCGCCTTAGAGCTCGACGCATCCCGCCTTAGAGCTCGACGCATCCCGCCTTAGAGCTCGACGCATCCCGCCTTAGAGCTCGACGCATCCTGACTTAGAGCTCGACGTATCCTGATTTAGAGCTCGACAGATCCCGCCTTAGAGCTCGACGCATCCCGCCTTAGAGCTCGACGCATCCTGACTTAGAGCTCGGGGTATCCTGACTTAGAGCTCGACGTATCCTGATTTAGAGCTCGACAGATCCCGCCTTAGAGCTCGGGGTATCCCGCCTTAGAGCTCGGGGTATCCTGACTTAGAGCTCGGGGTATCCTGACTTAGAGCTCGGGGTATCCTGACTTAGAGCTCGGGGTATCCCGCCTTAGAGCTCGACGCATCCTGACTTAGAGGTCGGGGTATCCCGCCTTAGAGCTCGGGGTATCCTGCCTTAGAGCTCGGGGTATCCTGACTTAGAGCTCGGGGTATCCTGACTTAGAGCTCGGGGTATCCTGAATTAGAGCTCGGGGTATCCTGCCTTAGAGCTCGGGGCATCCTGACTTAGAGGTCGGGGTATCCCGCCTTAGAGGTCGGGGTATCCTGACTTAGAGCTCGGGGTATCCTGACTTAGAGCTCGGGGTATCCTGAATTAGAGCTCGGGGTATCCCGCCTTAGAGCTCGACGCATCCCGCCTTAGAGCTCGACGCATCCCGCCTTAGAGCTCGACGTATCCTGATTTAGAGCTCGACAGATCCCGCCTTAGAGCTCGACGTATCCTGATTTAGAGCTCGACAGATCCCGCCTTAGAGCTCGACGTATCCTGATTTAGAGCTCGACGTTTCCCGCCTTAGAGCTCGACGCATCCTGACTTAGAGCTCGACGTATCCTCTATAACGTAAACTTGAACGCATCCTAGCGATAAAGTTCCCAACATCACTTTTAAAGCCGAGTTTCCCCTCATTTTATCCTCCTCATCCTTCGCCTCTCTTTTTCCCCTTCTCTTCTAATCTCCGCCCCTCCTCTCGCGACACGCCCACTACGTCGTCGTCTCGATGCCACGCCCCCCTTTGTTGCTCAGTCCGTGGAAATGACTGGCTCACCTTTAAATCCGGGTTCTGTGGGAGGGGGGGAGGGGGGGCCAGAACGCAACGCCCCGGTCATCCCTTTCTCTCTCTTTCTCTTTCTTCTTTTTCTTTCTTTCTTTTTTCTTTCTTTCTTTTTTCTCTCTCTGTTTCTCTCTTTCTCTTTCTTTCTCTCTTTCTCTTTCTTTCTCTTTCTCTCTCTCTCTCTCTCTCTCTCTCTCTCTCTCTCTCTCTCTCTCTCTCTCTCTCTCTCTCTCTCTCTCTCTCTCTCTCTCTCTCTTTCTCTCTCTTTCTCTCTCTCTCTCTCTCTCTCTCTCTTTCTCTCTCTTTCTCTCTCTCTCTCTCTCTCTCTCTCTTTCTTTCTTTCCCTCTCACTCTTTCTCTCTCTCTCTCTCTCTCTCTCTCTCTCTCTCTCTCTCTTTCTTTCTTTCCCTCTCTCTCTTTCTCTCTCTCTCTCTCTCCCTCCCTCTCCGCTTCTCAGTGTGTGATACTGTCTTTTTTTTATTGTTATTGCTGTTCTTGTTGTAGTTCTTGTTGTTATAGTTGTTAATGCTGTCCTTGTTATTTTTGTTGTTTTTGTGTTATTCGTAAGAGATGAAGAGGATTTGAGGATTAAAGAGGAGGAGAAGGGATGTTGAGTGGATGAGGAGAGGGATAAATGACCTAAGTCGGGGGGGGGGGGGGGGTAGGATGAACGGAGAATAGCCAAGCATGCCACGTGGACTTTTTTTTTTATATAGGCCTAAGTTGGAAGTTATGTGGATTTGTCTGGATTTTCTGTTTATAATGCTCGGATTTTTTTCTTTCCCGGATGAGATTTGTCTTTGTTTTTTTTTTCAGATCTGTCCTTGCGTGATCGTTCCTCTGGTTTCGTTGTGTCGTTGCTCGTTGATGGTCTTTGTCGGGAACTATCTTTGCACGGAAATTTCTCGGTGTTAATTTGCATCTTGTTGAAATTTCGGTTTTATATTTATCTTTTTACTTCTCCTCCTCCTCCTCCATCTTTTTCTTCCTCTTCCTTTTCTTGCTCTTCTTCTTCCACTTCCTTCTCTTGCTTTCCTTCTTCCTCTTCCTCCTCTTCTTCCTTTTCTTCTTCCTCTTCTTCCTTTTCTTCTTCTTCTTCTTCCTCTTCCTCCTTTTCTTCTTCCTTTCCTTCCTTTTCTTCCTTTTCTTCTTCCTCTTCCTCCTCTTCTTCCTCTTTCTCTTCTTTCTCCTCTCTCTCTCTCTTCTTCGTCCTCATTTTCTTTTCCAGCTTCATCATCATCATCTTCATAATAATGATAACAAAGATATCAGGTGATTTTGAGATAATTACTCATAGTAGATAGCTACATAATATTGTTAATGAGCAGGTCTATGCCTAGATTAAGATGCGTCGACGCCTTAATACAACGTAACATAATTCGTTATCTGGAAATTTTTGTTCGATGCAATGCGGATTTTTTTTTTTTTTTTTTTGGGGGGGGGGGGGGTAAGTCATGAGTTGGAGTGTATTGATTATTGATTTTCTTTCCTGTTTGTCTTTTGGCCTTCTTTTGATATCTCGTTTTCCTTCTCCTCCTCCTTTTTTGTTCCCCTCTTCCTACTATTACTCTCTCTTACTCCTATCTTCTCCTATTCTCCTCTTTCCTTCCTTCCTTCCTCTTCTTTCCTCCTTCCTTCCTTCCTTTCTTCCCCTTCTTTCCTCCTTCCTCCCTTCCTTTCTTCCCCTTCTTTCCTCCTCCCTTCCTTTCTTCCCCTTCTTTCCTCCTCCCTTCCTTTCTTCCTTCCTTCCTTCCTCTTCTTTCCTCCTCCTTCCTTCCTTCCTTCCTTCCTTCCTTCCTCTTCTTTCCTCCTCCTTCCTTCCTACCTCCTCCTTCCTTCCTTCCTCTTCTTTCCTCCTCCTCCTCGTCCTCCTCGTCTTCCTCTTCCTCCTCGTCTTCCTCTTCCTCCCCCTTCCTGCTCGTCCTCCTCTTCCTTCTTCCTCCTCTTCCTCCTCGTCCTCCTCTTTTTCTTCCTCCTCCTACTACTACTCCTCCCCCCCTCCGTGTTGTCTAACATAAATCCGACACATCTTCGCAAATTCAATTAATGTAGATTACAAAATTATTATTAATTCCATCAGATTGCGGGTCAAATATTTACATGTAATTAAGGCTTTGTATTTGAATATCGGAATACAATCTGAGCTTGTAAATTTTGAGGAAAAAAAAATCGAAGGGAAAATAGATGAAAAATATACAGTATGTTGATTTTTTTTTTTTATAAAAAGGTTTTGAAGGTGAATGTTCGAAAATGTATCGGTTTGTTTGTGTTGCATTTCTGTGCAACGTCACGTAGCTTAATGCAATGTTCACTTTTTCTTCTATTTGTTTTTCATTGTTAGCGGTTCTTGTGTAAGAAAACAATGCATCATTATAACCTTATTTATGCTTTGTCACGGAGTCTTTTTCTCGAAGAAGATTATATGGCGTGGATCGCGATTTCTCATGAATATTCATCTTTTTATCTCCTTGGCTTTATTGGTTCGACGATCGCTTTTATCGTTGTTATGGGCGTTTTCATCGT